CTCTGCCCCTCACTCCTGACCCGCAGCCCCTGCTCCCCAGCCTGCCCATGGTGCTGATTCTGGCCATTAATTTTGCGGCTGGGAGCCAGGCTGATACCCCCCAAAACACTGTGATTGCTAGAGTCTGCGCCCCACTCTGACGGGGGGGTGTCCCGTTTTCCAGGACTCGGGCGGGCACAGTGACGGGCGTCGCCGTCAATATCGCCTCACTGATCTCAGTCATGCTGCAGCCGTACATGCCCAGCATCAGCGCCACCATCCAGCGCCAGCTCTGTGTGCCACAGGCCTGCAACGTGCTGACCGACACCTTCCTCTGCCTCCTGCCCCCCGGGCACCAGATCGGCACGGTAGGCGCGCAGCCCGGGCCTGGCGCGGGGGGTTGGCGGAGTCTGCAGCCCCCTGCAGGGGAGGGAGGGGCGGAGGGAAGGCGGTGGGCATGCCGGGTGTTAACGTCTTCCCCCTCCCCTGCCAGGTGACGCCCCTGTTTCAGAAGCTGGAGAGCGAGCAGATTGAAGCCCTGCGGAAGCGGTTTGGTGGAGGGCAGGTGAGCCCCAATCCTGACCCCTGTCCCCTACCTGGGGCATCTGTGGCACTCCGGGGCCCTTTCCTGGGGGCTGGGGCAGGCCCCGCAGCTCCTGCGTGACCCACTGCTGGAAGGAAAGCCCTGCCCATCCTCATGGGAGGGCCCCAAGCTGGTGTGTGCCGGGGCTCCCCCTGCTGGCTGACTGGAAGGAAGGTGCCCCAGCCAGCAGGGAGGGAGTGACCCGGCAACTCCTCGCTTGCCTTGCCCAGCCACATGCTTTGCTCTCTTGCTACCTGTCCTCACCTGCTCTCTCCTCTCTCCTTTCCCAGCCTGAAGACTCCACCTTGGAGCTGAAGGTAACGCTTGCCCCGCTCTCTGGGGCACGCCTGGGGCTTGGCGGGGGGGCATGAGTGACAACCCCTGTCCCTTCCTTTCCTCTCACCGCCTCCAGTGCGAGGGCCAGATGCCGTGTGGCCCAGCCCTGCCGGAGTTACGCATGCTGGTTCCCTCTCCGATGCTATGGGGGCTCTGACCCTACACCCCACCTGGCTCCACCAGGGGGAACTCTCCCTCAACCCCCCAGGGAGGGGGCTCTGCTAGGCCTGGCGAAGGCCAGGCAGAGCCTGTTGTGTTGGGACTCCCTGACTTCCCTTCCCCTCCGCAGGCACATGCTGCCCGCATGGCCTCGGCCGACATGACACCCCCTGGGCCTGGGGGAGGCGCTGTGCTGGCAGGGGACCCCCAGAAGGTCAAGGAGCTGGCTGAGGAAGTGGCCAAACAGGTGAGTGGCACCTCTGCTTGTGCGCAGGGCCGGCTGCGTTCCTGGCAGGACCAAGGATCAGCTGGGGCCCTGCGGTTCAGCTTCTCCCCCGCCTGGGGCCAGAGCCTCTCCAGCTCTGCAGGGAGCCAGAGACTGAGCTAACAGTTGCCCTCTGTGCCCAGGCCGACCGCGTGCGCCAGCTGAAGGCCAGCAAGGCAGAGAAGGGGCAGATCGACGCCGAGGTTGCCAAGCTGCTGGAGCTGAAGAAGCAGTTGGCGCTGGCTGAGGGGAAGACCCCCGAGCCCCCGGCCCCCAAGGGGAAGAAGAGGAAATAGCTCCAGAGTGCCTCAGGGTTCTCCCCCTGCTGGGGGATCTGCACCTGCCCCCTCCAGCCCCAGAAGAAATACCTGTGAGCAGCCCAGGCTGTGGGGCCCGGCCCAGCTCAGCCTCCCCTTTCGGGCCCCTCCTGCAGCAACTGCGCCGAGTGCAAGGAGCCCCTGACCTGCCTCCCACCGTTCCCAGCCCACACAAGGACCCGCAGAGCTGCTCGGGCACACAGGGTGTAATGGGGGAAGCGCTGACCGCGCAGGGGGACATACAATAAAGGGTTTGCTAGATGTGCTGTGACGCTCATTACAACAGCCCCTTCCGTAGCTCCAGGACGCACCGGCCCTCGTTAAATAGTTCATCATGTGCGGGGTTGTGCCAGTTGGCCCGGGAGAACGTGGCTGAGTGTCTGCTAGCCCCAGCATCACGCTGGCACAACCAGGAGTGGGAGCTCCCGCCATCCAGGTCTTTGCCGGCTCCCGCCCCGCAGCATCAGCAGCCGTAGGGCCCTCCGGGGCTGTGGTCTGAGTCAATCTGCCCAGGGCAGCCTCAGGTCCAGGCCCTGGCTCTGCACAGCTGTCTTGTGGCAAGAGGGCCACACACTACCAGGGCCCAGCTGCCCCCTGTGAGTCCAACAGGCACAGGGCACTGCAGCCCCTTGGGCTCAGTTCAGCCCTCCACCTTCTGCAGGTTCACCATGCGCTCAATCAGTGCCGCCCTGGTGGCCTCCACCTCTGCGCTCAGCCGCTCGATCTCCTGCTTGAGCCGCTCGTTCTCGGCCATCAGCTCTGTCACCCTCCTCTCGTTCTGCTCCTTCTCCCCGCTCCGCTTCTTGCCCTGCCCCTGGGGCTGGCTGCTTCTCTTCCTCTTCACGCCGCGGGCCGGGCCGGCCCCCTCCTCATCCTCCGTGCAGGTCTGAGCCGGGGAGCTCTGGCTGGAGTCCGATTCAGGGCGCCCCACCAGCTCCTCGGGCGCTCCGCTCAGCAGCTCCAGCAGCTCGGCCGTCAAGCTGGCATCCAGCTCGGGGGCATCGCCTGTCTGCTCCGCCAAGGGGGCCGGGAAATCCAAGCCCCATAGCAGCGCTGTGGCATCAAGTGTGGCAAGGTCTTTCTAGAGAGAGAAAGAGAGAGTCGGTGGGGCCAAGGGGCAAGCCAGGCTAGTGGGCCCCCCTGCCTGCCCCTTACTCACCTGTTCCGCTCCCCCAGGGGGCAGGGATGTCCCCCCATTCTCATCCGAGGACAGCACCTCCTGCAGGTCCTCGTACCAGGCCTCCAGCTCCCAGCTGGGCAGGGAGGCGGGCACCGGTTCGGCTGCCATTGTCAGGTCTGTCCGGCCGTCTCCCTGGCGAAAGAGGGAGAAAACCATTAGCAGCAGGTCCAAAACTGGGCCCAGGGGGCACCGTCCAGAGCTCCCCTCAGCACCCTACACTAAAACAAACCAGCTGCTGGGGGAAGAGCTGAAAGGGGCCTGGGAGAGGCACTAAAGGCCAGCACCCCCTCCTCAGTCATGCTAGGCGGGGCCAGAAGCCAGGCAAGGACACGAGCCCCTGGGGAGAGGCAGCATGTCTCAGCCTGATGCCCGGGCAGGTGGAGGACAGGCCGGCTCTCTCCAGCCCAGCGAGCAGGAAAGCTCCCTTTCACCGCTGCAGAGGGAGCCCTGGGGCAGGGTCCCCAGCCCCACGGGACACCCATCTCAGCTGCGTCCCCCCCAACACGTAACGACCAGCCCCGGGCCTTACCGGCTCTCACGTGTGGTGATGTATGAAGACACACTTCCGTCTAGAAGACTGGGGGGGAAAAGCAAACACCGAATCAGACAAGGCGGCGGTTTGGCAAATCTCCCCATGGGCCCAGAACCAGGCAGCACTAGCAGGGATGGAAAGGAAGAAATCTACAGGGAACGGCTGCCTGCCCTCACCTCCAGCCCGGTGTGACCCC